TTGCTATTAGGTTACAGCAACTGTTCCTAGTGTTGTTTTGGTTCTAAGAGCCTTTGACTTAGATTTTTTTCCACTTCTGTTTTCCTTTGTGAGGTTTTATATTGTTGGACATGTTATAGACACGAAACACCTGCTCATTATAAAAACTACAGAAATACAGAAATGTTTACTTTTTCTAACCAGTGGACCCAAACCCTGTAATTCTTAAGGGTTTACATGCTGTTTTATATTACCCATACTGGTTTGCTCACAGCTTATTGGTTTTCTAGAATGTGGGACTTCTCAACTAGGAAAAAAAGAGTTTCCCTTATTAAGTGTAGATGAAGGAACTCTACTCTCTGCATTATTTTAAATACTTTGTTTTTAAGTTTTTATTTCAGCAGAACTCTTCCAAACAAAATGTGTTCACCATCCTGCTCAAGAAATATGATTCCAAACAAAGTTTCCTCCTTGCATTCATCTCCTCATACCTCTGCAGAGGTGACCACTACCTGATTGCATGTTTCTTTTGCCTATTTTAAAACTATTTAAGTAGAGTATGGTGGCATACACCATTTTAATCTCAACACTCAGCAATCTCTGTGTGTTTGAAGTCAGCCTGGTCTACATAGCATTCAGGCCAGCCAGGGTTACATAGTGAGACACTGTCTCAAACAAAACAAAACAAAATACAACACCACACCACACAACAAAACAAATGGTATATAACACAATATTCTACCAGATGCAAAGCACTGGATTCAGATCCAATACTGGCGGGAAAATGAATATGGATTCTTAAAAGTTTCTTTTGTCTCGCCCTCCCAATGTTTTATAGTCCAGAATGGAGAAAGTGAAGAGTGGAGCACATGTAGACTGGGCCACAGCAGAAACCCTTGCCTTGGGCTCCTTACTTGCTCAAGGTAAGATGTTTCTATTGAGCTTCCCAACAGGCAGAGGCAGACTACGCTCTGCATTATATTTGTTACATGAGAGCTCCTGAATTTCAATGACCTACTGTTAATTTCACTGATTAGAGAAGTTCTAAAACATATACTATTCCTTAGTCATAGTATAAGGAGATATGTTGACCATTTTCATTAGCATATGATAGACAAGGGAGCAGTTATATAGACACGGGGCTCATTCCTGGGTGCATTAGAAAGATATTTTTCTCTAAAAGTTGTATGACCAGAAATGACTCTTCAATTCTTATAATTTTATGTTGTTTTAAGTTCTATAGACTTTTAAATATAGGAAAGATATGTTTTTTCTTTTT